ATATATAATTATGATAATAATAACGTGCTATGTGTTGTCATCATTGTATGTTCCCATATAAAGACGAAATTGGCTCTCTGCATTTAACCCATCACACCTGGGATACACCCATGTGGAGCAGTGGGCAGCTGTGTAAGCTGCCCGGGTAGCAATTCGAGGTCGGGTGTCTTGCTCAGAGACCTCTGTGAGAGGTGGGTTGAGAAACCTTCAAATTTGGGGGGGGGGGGGGTACTCGTGTTGTGTAAATAAACTGCCAAACTGCAGAGAGAAGGGTGCGATTTCACTCAAAATACGCGCCTTGTAAATGGGCCCAAAGAATCCTACAAAGGGTGTCACTGAATTAGCACTGAACCATTCTATTTTACCATTTGGCTGTTATTCTCCAGTTTCCAACACCAGTTTTTAAATATCTAGTCTTCTTGCAGCTTTGCCACTCATACAAAAAGTAGTACGCCAATGTCACCCGGTCTCCCCAGTTTAGTTTCATGCCAAGAAAAAGTACCACAGATGCCGTCTTTGCTTTGAGGATGCTGATGGAGAAGTACAGAGAGGGTCAGAAAGAACTTCATTACGTCTTTGTGGATTTAGAAAAAGCATATGACAAGATGCCAAGAGAGGAGGTGTGGTATTGCATGAGGAAATTTAGGGTGGCAGAAAAGTATGTTAGACTGGTACAGGACATGTATGAGGACAGCAGGACATGTATGAGGACAGCAGGACAGTGGTGAGATGTGCTGTTGGAGTGACAGATAACTTCAAGGTGGAGGTAGGCCTTCATCAAGGATTGGCTCTGAGCCTCTTCTTGTTTGTTCTGGTGATGGACAGACTAACCAATGAGGTCAGGCAAGAATCCTCGTGGACTATGATGTTTGCAGATGATTGTGATTTTTGGTGAGAACAAGGAACAGGTGTAAGAGAACTTGGAGAGGTGGAGGTATGCACTTGAAAATAGAAGAATGAAAGTCGGCCGTAGTAAGACAGAGTACATGTGTGAATGAGAGGGAGGCCATGGAATAGTGAGGCTACAAGGAGCAGAGGTCACAAAGGTGCAGGACTTCAAGTACTTGGGGTCCACTGTCCACAAAAATGGGGAATGTGGTAAAGAGGTGAAGAAGAGAATCCAGGCAGGATGGAGTGGATGGAGAAAAGTTTCAGGCATGATTTGTGACAAAGGGGTGGCAGCAAAGGTCAAAGGAAAATTTTACAAGACAGTGGTGAGATCAGCTATGTTGTCTGGAGACAGTGGCATTGACAAAAAGACAGAAGAAAGAACTGGAAGTGGCAGAAATGAAGATGTTGAGGTTCTCCTTAGGAGTGACAAGGATGGATAAGATTAGGAATGAGATCATCAGAGGTACAGCACAGGTTGAAGAACTGGGAGATAAAGTTAGAGAGGCCAGACTGAGATGGTTTGGACATGTCCAGAGGAGGGACAGTGTGTATACTGGTAAAAGGATATTAGAAATGCAGTTGCCAGGAAAAAAATATATATGGCTCAATTTGAAATATCATGGTATCTTGGTAAACTGGACTCTTTTAGTGGTACAGTGTTTGGCATTGATAAATAAAAAAATATATATGATGGGACTGTGGCAAAATTAGTAAGAAAACAGTCTTCTTTGGAGCTATATTGCTTAGTCAGACTTCACAGAAAAAATATTAAAATTTAAAAGCATATTCTTCCTCCCACAAACACTTTATGCAGCATACACATCACAACATGCACATTTTTGTCTTTTTTCACCCAGTGTGTCTCTCAGTACCACAGGATTTATACTTTTATCTCAATTCCCCCAAAAGTGCTGAGTGCGTTCAACCATTGGCTTCCATTGTAACTCATCAAAACTAGAAGTTAAATGTCTTTTTAACTCTTACAAATTACACTGTAGACACATAAAACCAAATGTGGTATGAGCAGACAATTCTGCCATTTATTGGTTTAAATTTTTTAAATACAACTCAGTTGAAATTCTTTGTTTTAGGCTCACTTTCTAGTCTGCATTCATGCTTGTGTCATGATGAGTACTGTCAGTCAGAGACACAGCAACTATGGTGATCCAAGTAAGCCACTGCCAAAAGCTTTAATTTTTCTGAACATCTTGGTTCTTTTTACACTTTTACATAAAAATATCATCATTTTGCAGCTTATGTACATTATTAAAATTTGAAAATGTCCAGAGGAGGGACAGTGGGTATATTCGTAGAAGGATGTTAGAAATGCAGCTGCCAGGAAGAAGACAAAGAGAAGATATATGGATGGAGTTAGAGAGGACATGAAGGTAGATGGAGTGAGGACAGAGGATGCAGAGGACAGAATGAGATGGAGGAGGCTGACTCACTGTGGTGACCCCTGAAGAGGGAAAAGCCGAAAGAAAAAGAAGATGTACATTGTTTAAAAAATCAGTTCAATTTACTTTTATTTATTTTTATTTTTTTTAGATCTTCTAGAAGAAATATGATGTATGTTAGAGTGTCAAACGGTATCTGCATTTTTACCCTTAAAAGTTTCCTGTGACTTTTTCTAGTTCAAGTATGTTAAAAAAAATGTGAATCAGATTCATCAGATTTATTGTCATCTTATATAATCCTATTAAATGGTAATAAACCTCTGTTTCAGTTTGTCATTGCCTGTGTTTTGACTCATTTTTCTGTTGTAAATGGTAACTTATTAATAGTGCTGCACTTTGCTGACACTGCACCATCAGTAATGTTGACTTACATCAAAAGACGGCAGAGCCAGATTTAGTGCTGGATTAGCTGTGACTGATGGTTTGTGGTTCACTGGCCGAACTGCTTCTCAGATCTGCAATCTGTTGGTGGAAAGCTTTGATTGTGTTTACCATAGGTCCTCAGCTCCACTGGGTGAAGGGATTCTGTTCCCTGCCTGTAAAAAAAAAAAAAAGCAAAGGGCTCCAGAAGTGCTCATGTTCAGTTCTTCGTGGTTCTAAATAAGGCAATGAAAATTCATGAAAAAATTACTATCTATAATAAAAAAATAAATGCATAAAATTTAGCTTTAACTTCTGAAAACTTTGATTAAAGAGTTCAAGAGAGATCATTTTCGAAGTGAAACAAAGAAAAAATGTAGGGCTCACATTTTTCACATAGACCAATAAAACTCAGATTTTGCACTAAAGCTGTGTTTACAGTATGTGAGGAAAACTAGATGCTGGTGGGTCAAAAAAAGAGGAGAAAATATATTTTTAAAAATCTCCATTAACTTTAACTGCTGGAATGCTAACGTAACCAATGCATTAGTTAAACATAATTTTATGATCAAATTAGGAAGTTACCATTGGATCAGTGTTGCCTGTATTATCCTCTGAATATTGACTGAAAATGGGCTTTGATGGAGTATTCTTTTAACAACTCATTCTTGTTTGTCCTTAAGGTGTTACTGTTTACATTTCTGATTACAATCTAAATAACAAATGCCTTACTTATAACATTTTACATTTGACACACAGTATAAAATTATCTAAAACCAAACTCCACCTTATATTAAAGATATTATTTTTCCATATTTTTGTAACAAAGCTCTTTGTTCTCAGGCTGCAGGTTTGCTTGGAGTTTCTAGAGTTTCTATAAGTTGTGTGGGAGGCAGATCCTTCAGTTATCAGGCTCCACTCTTGTGGAACCAACTTGAGGTTGACACTCCACCTAATTTTAAGCATAAGATAAAATTTTCCTTTTTGACAAACCTCATAATTAAGGTAGACTTGGTTTAGTCTGAGCTATCCCTTTAGTTATGTTGCTTTAGAGCCTGCGCAGCTTACATCAGAAAGTTTTGTGCTCGTTGGTTATTCCTCATGTTCAAAGGCAAGCTTTCTTTGTAATTTTATCATAATGTCGTGCCATTCCTGTTAAAAATGGAAACTGTGTGGTTAAAAATGATCAAAATAGTTGACTAATGCTCGACAATAGGCCATACAATTTTTCAAGAGGATATTCCACAGTTTCAAATCAATTAAAAAACAACCCTGAACAGCATTGATTGAATGGTTTAGTGAGGGTCTCCGATTGGCTCTGTCAGGGCCCTGGGGCCTCATGTACAAAGACTTGCGTAGATTTTCTTCTGAAATATGGCATATGCTTAAATTGACAAGACAGTGTACGCACAAATAAATCAAGATGTATGAAATTGTTCGTACATATGAATTCAAGCACACTTCCTTTATACATCCCAAACAATGTGGAATTGAACACACATTAATTCAGTTCAATTCAGTTTATGTACAAAGTGTCAAGTCACAACAGAAGTTATCTCAGGCCACTGAACAGAAACATTCATATATATTAAAAATACTGGTAAGTTAACATTATTTATCTGAAGAGCATTCTGCTTTGAATTAAACTTCATCGCAGAACTCTCATCTTGAGCAAGCATGAAGGAGACCGTGGAAAGAAAAAACTCCCTCATGAGGTAGAAACCTTTAGCAGAACCAGGCTCAGGACAAGCGGCCATCTGCTTAGAGTGGCAACATGAGGAAATACAGTACCAGACTCCCCCTTGACATGCCTACATTTAAATATGTATGTATGTATGTTTTATTTATTCATTTCATTTCATCCAAACAACAAATATAATACAATTTAAAGAAAAGAAAAAAGATATACAATCACAGAAATGGGGCAGCACGGTGGCGCAACTGGTAGAGCTGCTGCCTCTCAGCGAGCAGGTCCTTGGTTCAAACCCCGG